AAAGCCACACAACAAAATAGTCTCGATGTATGGAACATATAGAGGCAATGTATTTAATAGAAACTACAATATTTGTTGCATACATTCTGTCAAAATGCAGTTTTATCTTACGAGGGGAGATAAATAGTTTATAGGTATTTCCAACACCATCTTGGAGGCTTAGAAGCAACTAAAAGCATGTGTATTTTATTTTTGTACTTTTTAATATTATTATTAAAGACCGGACAATTTAATTTATTCTTATCAGCGAAGTAACGGTAAGAGCGGACCTTCGATTTGAATAATACATTCTGAATAAAACAAGTTATTTACTGAACTGGTCGACACAGTAGATAAGATATTGGATTTTTATCGCCCGGGCGTAACATTTGGGGCGGGCTTATTATTACATTTACATTGCAATAATTATTTTATTAAATTTTAGTTCAAATTTGGTTGGATATTATTATATAATTACAAATGATATTATTATTTATTTTTTTATTGTGTTGTGGGATAATGTTGTTGGCTTTTTCTGTTAATATATTATTGACTAATAAATATATCAACGAGGATACACCATCATTAGTTTTATGTTTAGAGTGTTCCAATATACACTCTTTATCCTAAAGTAGCAAATATACAATTATATACAATATATACAATACAAATTAATATCAATCTTCTTCATTTGAAAAATATGTTTGTATGACTGCATATTTTTCTAAATTGTCTTCAGTGAAATTACTTCTTTTAGAAGTCAATAAATCTTTAAACCTAGAAAACGATCGTTCTACGTCACAACTCGTTACAGGAGCAAATGAAAAATGTGGAACAAAATCACAATATTTTAAAGCAGTTTCATAATCGTTAAAATTGTTCAGGGAGATTTGTTTCAGAGTCTGTAAATTTGGATTTCTTTTAATAACACAATCTATTTTATGGTTAAATTTATCTTGTAAGGGCCACTTTACGTTTTTTAAGTGTAACAATGTCGATTCAAATTTTTCCATAGCAACCGATAATTGTAAGTTACGGGTTTCAAGGAATTTTATAGTTTCTGGGAGACACGAAAAATAAGTCGCAAGAAAATTTAACTCCGACTGCAAAGTTGTTTTTGTTATTAAACCTTTACACTGAGTGATAGAGAGAGCGTCCTCTGATAAGTTGGAAATAAATACTTTTAGTCTGTCGAAATGCTCCGAAAAAAAGAACACAGCCTGTAACCAAGTTCCCCATCGTGTAATAACTGGTTGTGGAGGTAGGGGGATATTCGGACATATTTCTTTATATAAAGAAACTCGGGACGGTGCTTTTAACAAAATTTTTTTAAAACAGCTAATCAACGAATTAATGTCTGGAAAGCTGTCACGGATAAACTCACAAACTCGGTGTAACGCGTGAGCAAGGCAAGTTACATGCAGCATGTTTGGAAAATGTTCTTGTAATAGTTTCCCTGTTTTCAACATTACACTTGCCGCGTCTGAAATAAACAATAAAACTTTTGAAACGTCATTATCAATTACATTGTTCAATCCACGTTTCACTATTTCATAAATCATTTCAGCGTTCACAGTTTCACGAAACACACTAGAAACTAAATACTGTTGTGAAGTATTTTCAGCACTTAATAATCCTACAACATTAACAACACATCTACCCTTTATGTCAGTCGTTTCATCTGCACTAACCCAAATATATTTGCTGGAAATTTTCGTTTTTATTGCCGTCATTGCTTTATCGTACTGATTTTGAATATAATGTTTTCTAATTGTGGATTCATCCGGTATTTTACGTTTAGTATATTTACAAAGAAAATTTTTGAAAATTGTATTATTTAATTTTGTTAATGGAATATTTGCAGAAACAAATGCGTTGCATAAATCTTCATAAAAGATTTTGTCTGGACATCCCTCTAAAGATTGCATGTGTTTTCACATGTTGTGTCATACTTGACTTTCCATTAAAAACTAACACCTGATCACAATTGCGGCAGTATAATTTGTTGTCATTAAAACGACGAAAACAAAGTCCGATAATAAATTTTCCATATTTACGTTTCCAGTTTCTATCACTTTTCCCTTTGAACTAAACAAATATACTCATTGGAAAAATCTAGTGATATTTTTACAAGACACTTTCTTCTCAAATCTCCTGTTTATCGACTCTTTGTTATCTTTTTACATTTTTTCAACCAACAGATACCTATATAGAGTGAGCAATTGAATTAATACATACATTACAGAAATTTAACAGACATTTATTTTATTGTCTCATCGTGTATAAGTACCATAATATCCACAGGAAATAAAAACATAAATGTTTTGTTACAAAAAATCGGTATGTACGGTATCGATAAAAGCCAAAATATTCATAAATATAATATAAGGATTGACTTTATTTGAATAAAAATATCACCGGCAACTAACCGACAATGGATCGAGAAAGTATAAGACAACATATGATGGGCCTATTTGACATTCATTTTAGGCCCTCTCTACAGCGTCTTAGTCCAAACGCTCGTAGAGTCCTAATATTTGGCCCCGATGCAATTTCTCCAACAATGAATCGGGACCAGCTAAGGCTAGAAATTTCCAATTTTCTGGAGGAAATAACAAATTCGGGGGAGGCAGCTGGGGTCCTCGATCCTCATTTTAGGCAGGAGAGTAGTGTACCACGCCAAAATATTGAGGAATAGATATTTTGTAATTATATAAGAGATAATAATAAAAAAAATATCATACAGAATATCGTTTACATTACTACACCTTAAACTCGCTTATGAAAAGTTTAACATCTTCATCAAAAAAGTTATTTTTTTTTAAGGAAAATTTCTCAGGCCACAAATTAAAGGATCTGAGGTTACTAAAAACTTTTGTAAAATATCCTACATATCCTCGGCGTTGGTGAGAAGAAAACATTAAATTTGTTTAATGAAAATGATTCAAAAGACAAAGAATATAGGTACACGATAAAAAAAAATCTCACTTTTTTGTATTAGTTTTAATGTCTATGTATATATCAGTACACTTTTTTTATCTTGTTTTAATAAAAAAAAGAGGTTTGTCCTGATAGTATTAGAATCTGCCGCACTGTCTGCCGTCTTAAATAGCGAACCCAGAATGAGACGCCTATGTGATTAAAACCAATTATTTGAACGCGATTAAAATGTCCGGTCTTTAATTATTATGCACTTATTAATTAATTATTTTATATTATTGGTCATGTTGCTCAAAATAAATGCACTATTATTTTGTAATATTTTATATAACATATATCAACAATTGTATTTCATGTCTTATGATGGTTTTCAGACAAGAATAGTGGGACCTTGTAAGTAAACAAAAAAAATACATACCAAGCCATTTAAAACTTTATATTCAAAATAAAATTACAATCAACATTGATCCCATAGGAATCGCATTTTATATAATTAGCTGATGCCCATATATCACAATATGGTATATTTAATTAATAATTATCTACTACTTAAGAAGCATTAATAAAATCTAAAAAAATTAAGGTGTCCAAAATGACATAAAAAATATTTTAAAATTACTAAACATATCTACATTATTCCTAAAGATTAATTTATATGTTTAAGGGACTTTTCTCACTTTAGTAAAAATTTGCCTTACACAGAAAGTACAGCATGGAGACTTCAAAATTATTAGAGTAGATCAGTATAAAAACTACCCTGAGAGATATTAACAGATATACCTTAATACATAATGACAAAACTAGACAGACAAGTTTCTTAAAACGATCTTTTTTTAATTGAAAATTTCTCTTTAATAACTTAATTCTTACAAATACATTTATAGTACAAAATTATATGAAAAAAAAAAAAAAAAAATTACTTCCAAAAATTGGGGTTCTGTTGCAGTCTTCTTTCAAAATTCATGTACCAGTTTTGAACCGTGGATAGAGGTACATAAGTAGCTGTAGGATCAGGAACCATATTAGACTGACTAATAGTGTAACTTAAAATGTAGTTCATAAAGTTTTCTAACATCTTTTGTGCAAAAGTGACATTAGTTTCTATGTTGTTAGGCGACGGTACATCTTGAATATTTCCTAGAGGTTCTGAAAATAAAATAAAGACCAAACATTAACACTAAACAATTGTTTTTAGATTTTTTTATAAGAAATCCTCTAAAGCAATGTAGTTTTAACTTACCTATTGAAATCCCTATTTGGGCATTGTGACATATGTGGCTCTGTCCAAACATCATATTAGAATAATCACCCATTTCATCCAACCTCTTTAATCCAGATATTTTAAAAATAACTGAAGGTTTCTGGTTGGAAATAAATCCTAATAGTTGCCAGTTTGGTGGTGCATTAGGATCAGGCCAACTGAAATAAACTGACAAAAAAATATTCCTAAGTAGGTATTTTATTAATTTACATTATTTAGAAAGGCTGAGATAGTTTATTTGAAGCAAACATGGTATAAACAATCAAAACTGTAATTTAGATATATTTAATAAATACCTTGTCCTCCTGTGCCACCTGGAAAAGGCATTGTTCCTGTTAAAAATACTACAATATGATTAATATTATCCGCATCTGGTATTGTAGTAACAACTTGAGTTTCACTGATCTGTTGAAACTCTGTTTGCACCTGCAATAATAAATGGAATCGATAATAAATTATCTGCTTACGTCTGTAAATTCTTACCAGTCGCCCAGAAACAATTACACCGAACATAATTATTATTGGCTGAAAAGAAAACTTTACAAAAATAGCAGGTTTTATAAAAACAAACTTGTTTCTTTTTCCTTCTAGAAACTTTTGGAAGCAATTTTAAGGTTAAGTTAGGATTAGCAAGAAGAAGAAGAATTAAAACTAATAACCTTTGGGTAGTCGGTAAAGAGTCTTTTACATTAAAATATTTCAGATATTTTTGGTTAGAATAGATTACTTACTAAGAGAAGTTCGAATTTATAAAAACTGAAGAAGACCTGTCATTGACCTTGACGGCTGTGTGTCTAACTTCACTTAATTAGTTTTTTAGGATGAAATGTCGCGTAGATCACGATTTCTTTTAATTCGTTTAGGATAAAGTTTTCACTAGTATTTGGTGTCATTTTATTCCTACTTCGGTATTAGTGTTAGGAAATCATGGTATGAGTAATTTTAATATTTTTTTTATTCATAATCATTTAGATACATAAATACATTTTCCGTATTTATCTTGCAAAGTTTTGACAGTTCTGTCTTGTTTTTATGGAAACAAAAATTTTATTAGTCCCAAATATGAATCATCGTCTGTTAATTGAGTTCAAATGTTTGAATTAAATTTAATAAATAGGATTATGAAGTGAGAATTATCTATTTTTAGCTAGCAACTACACTTATTTGCTTTTGAATCCATGGAAAATATACACACCCTCTTTATCTTATGTAAAATCAATAATAGAAGTCACTCAGAATTTTTGTTTTTGTAAGTTTTTTTTTATTTTGGAAAAACTTTAATGTCTTTAAGCAATAACAGAATATTTTTTTGTAACTGCTGTTAAAAATAAAGAATAAAAATCATTCTTAAAAATATTTGATCTAATGCAATAGATCTATTCCATAGATATTATACCTATGTACTTATTTTCTGTATTTTGTTTGGAATACCTACTTTCTCAGAGCTATTTATTTATATGTAATACATTTCTAGCTTAAACAGTTTTTGAGATGTTTGTTTTCATGTTAAAAATTCACCCTAATTAGACTTAAAATCCTATTCTGGCCTTATAATAATTAAAAATTCAACTAATAAACTAAATCGAAAAATCAAACGAGCAAAGTTGAACCATAATAGCCCAGGAGATGAACCTAACTACAAACATATATCATGCTGTTGTGAATAAGACATTCGATTTCGGCATCACGAATATTATATTTTATATCCTGTTATCTCTGCCCTATTAAATAAAAATCAGGACTGGAAGTAAATGATGATTTTGTGGAATTTTTTATGTTTAGATGTTGGTTAAAACCATAATAGTGCCTTTTTTCTATTTTATAGTTTGAAATTAAAAAAAAAAATGCAAAAAATATAATTTTCATAATTTGAAAAGTCCCCTATTTCGCTTGTGACGTCACTTTGTTTAAATGGGCTTTAACTGACTATGGAGCTCAAAGTCTGTACCTACTTGTAACTATGAAGACTAGAGAAAAGGAGGCGAATCAGCTATGGTCAAATTTAAAATTTCCATCCTTCTTTTTATAAAATTCGCGAAATTGACTGTAGTTGGCATGTCGAATAACAGCGGTGTCAATTTTCTATGTAAGTCAATGTAAAATGAAGTGATTTTTTTAAAAATTGGTGAAAAGAATCAAAATAATGTGAAAGAGAAAGTACCTGAGTCATGGGCGAAGTTAAGGGGGGGCTTGGGGGGGCTAAGCCCCCCCAAAAACCAAATTAGCCCCCCCAAAAATAATTCGAACATTTATCGCACATCCACCCAAACATTTCAGATTTTAGAACAGAAATTAAAAAATAAAAATAACCGTGCCATTTGATTTATTCTGCAATTTTATATTTAGTTCAGGAGGCAGTGAATTTTTTTCGTATTTATTTTTCCAGTCGGTGTATATGAAAAATAAACTGTTCTCTTAGTGACAAAAAACAAAATTTTTGAGTCTGACACAACTATTTTACATTTACTAAACTAGAACATAAAGCTTATAAAAATAGCAGTTTGGATTATCTCAGATAGTGGAAAGTGAGTGTGGCAGAAAATTGAGCATATAAATTGATACAATCATGAACTGTTTATAATAATAAGTCTGGCTGATTTACGAAATTGGCTAATGAGTCTGGTAATATCTTCTAAATGGAAAAAATATCATATTTTTGCTTTTATTTTCCCGGGTTTGAAAATTTGTCACGTGATAGATTAAATTATAATTTTACACCTCCATTTTATAGCCAATCAACTGCTGTTATTTCAAAACACTTTCATGACAACCAGAAAAATTTCCGGAAATTTTTCTTTTGGTGGGTACCCTTAACGAAATTATACTGAAAACTTTTTGACAGTTGAGCAGCTCTTTCATGAATATAAAAAATTTGCCATTTCAGTGGTTAATATTTTATTTAATACCAATTATAACTAGGTAGAAATACACTACATTTATTTTATGTAAAATAATAATTAGGTTTTTCGCGTCAACTAAACGACTTCAAATATGACAAATGTTCATGGTATGGCCACAGCATATAAAACATATGTTTTATATTCTGTGGTATGGCTACCTTTGAAAATTTGATTTTAGTCGTTTTAATGCATGTCTGTCAAGTTTTGAAATTTGGATATTTTGGTGTAAAATTTTCTTACCCAATACCAAAAACGTGCCTAAATTATTATCAGTAAATTTTTGCACACTCACGCATATCTTAAGAACTTTTAAGAACATTATCCATCTACTTAGGATAAGTTTTGAAAATATTCGTAAGTGAAAATACACGTCTGGCTGACAATTACAATTACGGAGGCCTGCAAGACTCACAAGTAGTGTCCGACCGAAGGTTCGGTTACGGTTTCGGCCAACTTTGGCTTTAAATAATATTTTCGATTACAGTTTCGGTTTCGGCGGAAAACTGGCCGAAACTGCAGCCGAGAGCGAAACTACTTTTAAAAGTTTTCGTATCACAATGTTGTGTCCGGCACAATGGCGACTGTGCCGGGTGCCATTCCTACACAGTGCACGTACACACAAACTTCTCTGCTTTGTTTCAAGTGAACATGTCAATAAATTTATTAATGGCTTCTTTTGATCACATAAATAAACAGGTAAAAAGTAAATGTAGCTAAAATTTATAATACGAGTTAATTAGTCTAAAACAAGGATTACAATGAGATATTGCAAATTTCAATAAAAGATTGCCTTAAAAGAAAGTTCTTGTTTCTGTTTCGGCCGAAACTAAGAAGGGAGCCGAAATTTGGTTTCTGTTTCGGTTATAAAACCGTATTTCGATAGGACCTGACAAGCCAGGTAGTTAAACGAGGAGAGGAATAGTAATCGAACGTGCCGAATTTAGCGCGCCTGACGGTCATTAGACGAGTCTGGCAAGGCTTTCGGGGTGTTCCACATTAGCCAGATTATATTTTAAGCTGTTATCATAATATACATGTTTCTAGTAGTGAGAACACTTGTAACAGGGATCCTTACTGGACATTGCCAACTAAAATGACACCTTAGTAAACTGAGAGTAGTGCAGATTTTGTGAGGAGAAGGAAAAAATCTTCATTCACATTCTAACTAAATGTGTAGCACTTCAGAATCCAAGGGCACTATACCTAGGAGCATATCAAATAGAAGAGGGAGATTTACCTAACTTGAAGCCACTCCAAATCCTACACTTCCTTGAGAAGATATAATTGGAAGGATCTTTATTCGCGATTCAAGTTAAGTGATACGCCCTCTGGAGGAAATTTGTAGAAGGTCCCTATAAGTAGGATATCGTTCAGTGTTGCCAGAAGTAGCAAAATTTCGCTACGTCGTCGGATTTTAGCTCTTGAAGAAGTGGATAAGACCTTTTATTTAAGAATTAAAATTTGTGTATAGTAATATGTAATCATACTCTATATTTATTTAAGGACTTTTTTATAAAACCGATTTATTATATTAATTTTTTTTTTTAATTTCAGTTCATTTATTAATTTTGTTTTAAAATCAATTCATCATTTGGCAACGAGTTCATTGTTTACATTTTAATTTGTATCAATTACAATTCGAGTTTTTCTTACTTTTTAGCTTTAACTTTTTTTATTTCTTATTGTATGTGATAGTGTTTATGTTAAAAATGAAATCTGCGAAAAAGTCCCCAGCAAATTGCAATCTATATGGTGTTAATGTCAAAATCAAAACTAAAGTATTCATTATTTTCCAAGTGCAAGTCGTAAAATTTAGTTTTTTACCATAAATGGATATCTACAAATTCACAATATTGAAATTTTGCAAAACTTTGTTTAGAATCGATATATGATATTTTATCCATTTTCATAGATTCGCCAGAATTTTTTTACTTAACTTCAGTAGGTATACCTCTAGAACTATTATATATTATATGACTAGGGCTAGGGCTTTAGCCCCCCCAGATCTGATGACATAACTTCGCCCATGAGTCCTGAGTACAAGTAACGTGAGGGACAAAAAAACATCAAAGCAAGATTTACTTCGTTCCAGATTGTAAAACAGGATACAAATCAAATGTAATACTAAAGAAAATACAAGGAGAAATCAATTCAATGTCTTTTTAAAGCTTCTAATGTAAGTAAAATAATGTATTTATGTCTAAATATAATATTTATTGTAAACTAGTCACAATATGTATCTTACAGAGAGTAGTTTATTTTATTACAAGTTTCTATAATATAAAATTTTACAGTCATAGATTCTGACTTACAAACAACAATATTTATACATTTAATATAACTTACTAGAAAATAAAATTTATTTTTTATAGAGTTTTAATGTTAGATAAAGAGTTGCTACTATTATTTTTTTGTTGAACCCCAATTGTGTCATTGTAAATGTTTTTTATAGGATACTAAACGCTTAAAACAGTGGCAGCATATATATCGTTCCTAGTGCCGATAAAGCACTTTCTAGAGATGATGCTGTTCTATACTTTTTAGAAGATATCAAATATGAGACTATTTTTTCTGATGGTACTGTTAGCAAAATAAAAAGGGGAAAGCTGAAATTAAAGGACAAGGTAATACCATGTACATTTCAAAATCTCCCTTTATACTTGTATTATAACAATAAAAAATCTGTTAACTGTGTTTTATTTTGCTCTTAAAACTATATATATAAGTTCAATTCAAAAAAATTTTGCCACAAAATTGTACTTATCAAATTTCAGCATTTAACAAACCTTTTCGAATTTGGTCATACCTACATAATTTGTATTTTAAGGCTGTATGTCACGATACTAAATTAAGTACTAAATTTAGAACTAAATTAATGCATTTTTTAAGTACTAAAAAAAATCACGTTGCAAACAGCAAATTTAGTACTAAATTTAGTGCTAAAAAAAGTCATTAATTAAGTACTAAAAGTGCGCCGAAATGTTGCGCAGAAGTTTTTCATAGAAAAAGTTGACACGACGGTATTTTCTG